ATACTTTCATCGATGAGGGTGAGCGATTTGTGAAATTTTGCATATCATACGCCGATTTGCGATTTGCTTGCCGCACGGTGAGTGAAAGCGTGGAAAGCGTTAAAGGAAATTTCGCTTGTGCAAATTTAATTTTGCCACTTTCCGCCAACGCGGCAGCCTTGAAGAATTGCCTGGCAGCGTAAGGAAAGTGCGTAAGCAGTTGAGGGGAACAGACGGGCGGATGAAAAGAGACACAACCCAAAATTTGGGTTGAATTGGCTTGGCGTCTCGCTGACTAACTAACTGACGCTGCGCCAGGGGACGGGGGAGGCGATTGTATTGCGTATTTTTTTGCGCGTCTGCAATTGCGATTGTTTGTCTGATTGTCTGTCTGGCTGCCGACTTGGGTGTGCTGCCGCTTGTGCCAATCTCCTGCACGTTGCCGCTGTCGACAGTCGGTCGCTGATTGTATTTGGGTTTTAGGTTATTAGGTTAGGTTTCTGTTAAATTTCAAAATACGAAACGGAGTTGGTGCGTGCAAAAAAAAAACATGCGACCGCTGTGTAAATTTGCGGGTGTGATGCTTGTTGCTGTTTGCGTTAGCGTTTGCCAAAGCTCTGTTTTCAATGCTGTTATTGGTATTACAGTATTTTTCTTTTGTTGCTATCATCCTTAGGCAGGCGAGTGTATTTTAAATAAATTTAAATAAATTTGCACACTATGTCAAATATTTTCTGAACTATGTGTGTACGTGCACTGCTGTAATTGTGCCTGTGTGTATGCGTGCGATTGACATTTGACAGCTGACAATACTTGCGGTACATTTATAAATGTCAACGCATGTTTTCCTTTGTATACCTTCAAGTGTTTTCGCGGGTTTTCGCAAATCATATTTGCCATTTTGCACGGGGCAAAGCGTGGCGTAGTTTGAATTGGGGTGGTATTTTTGGGACCCACTGTAAAGATTACATTACATTGCATTACAACAAATCGGGCAGAAAATGCGGGGGTTCGTAATGAATGTGACATTAATGCTGTCAAGTAATTGTGGGAATTTCGCACTCGAAATAATCAGCCTATACTCGAAATTTTGTGGGTATAAAGGTGTGAGGGACATATGAATGTGAATACAATGGATTCCTAAATTAACTACTTAGTGATATCCTTAGGACATTTTTTACAAAAATGGTTTGCCTCTACTGAAACCTTCGACCACCGAAGCTATTGGTGAAAGGTTTTGGTAAAGGCCCAGACCGACGAAGAGTGGTTAGACCAAAATAAAAACCACTGAGCCGCGCGTATGACTGAACCGTCTCATTCGTAGGATGAAGGTCGGTTCGTTGGTCGAAGTGTTTTGTCATCTTGTTGAAAAGCAATTAGCAAAGTTTAGCTATTGTGAAATACACAGCACCTTGACGGTTTTAATAAATTTAGGTAAAATATCATACAGAGATAGGCTGTTTTCTGAAACACATTCTGGAGAAATGCATAGTTGACTAAGTATCCTTACCTTCACTCTTGCAATTGACGGACACACTCAGAGATAGTGTTAACTTAATCCTTCCGGACCGGGTATTTGTAGCTGCGTTAAACCTGTTCTTCCTTTGGGCATGCAAGCCTATGCCCTGAGCAAACAGTCGCGAGTCTGTACGTTTTTTCATTGCTCGTTTCTTACAGCCCTAGTTTTAGGTGGTTTGTAGGTATTCCAATTCCTTTATGATGCGGCGCAGTTGTCCATCTCACAAATTCGCAGCTCGCTAGTTTATTCCTGCATGAGTCCCTTTAACTAGGTATCCATATTAAGGTCACTTCGAATTGTCATTGAGATCAATTCCCTTCAACAAGTTACGAGCTAATAAAAGAAGAGGGCCCAAATTACTGCGTGATTATCTGATGAATTGCTCAAGTGGGTCCCCGCGGGTCAGTGGTGTTTTATGTAACCTAGCACCTGCAATTGGAAAACACTCTCGTAGTCTGGTAGTGAAAATCCCTGCACCTACAATTAGTTCCATATTTAATTATTCTGCGAAGAGCCTCCGAGTACCTGGTCCTCTCACATCCAGTCATGGCATTTGAGGATTTTTATTGATGTTTTGGTGTTGGTCCAGACCTTGGTATAAAAAAGTCCGTGGGCAGTGCTTTTGTATCGAATAGTGGTCTATTAAGGTTAGAGCTGGGTCCTAATGGCCCTTATGAACAGGACCCTAAAACCCGTTATCTGGTTGCGTTGCTAGCACCTAAGTTTTCCCATGAATTGTACCCTAAATTCAGCCGGATTTTCTTCTTAATGCATTTATGTTTTCTAGCCGCCCTGCCCGGCGGCGGGAGAGACTCTTAACCGAAAATTCTTTACTGATGGTACGGCTACCTCAACGCAACTAGCTTAACGTGCTAGAAATAGACTAGAAAGGAGACGGTTGGAAGGGATCTATAAGGGTAGAGGGTGAGAGAAGAGAACCGGGAGGGCGAGTAGCTTGAAGACATCTGTGCAGGCTTATGCGCTTCGGAATCGACGTTCCACTACCTGACCATGAAGGAGTAACAAAACCCATGTAGTTCCTACTCAGTTAATAACAAA